TATATATATAGGACTTTGTCCTATTCACTTAAAGAAAATAAAAACACTTTAAAATGATTTTCTTCTTATAAGTGTAAAATATAAAATCAAAGACAAAGAAAAAAACAATAGAAAAGTTTTTTTTTTTCACCAGGGTTACCTCTACAAAATTAAAAATTACATATTTCTGGAGAGGATATGTGAGGTGTTCACATGTGCTGAAAAATGTAGGAAAATGAAACCCTGTGGATCATCTGGCTACTGTTTTACATTTTAATTGGTTAGAATTTAAGCTCCACTTGCCTGAATGAGCGCTGACTAGTTAAATGTGTCTCATCTTACTTTAACAGACTAAAACTGTTTGTTGCTTCGAGGGTAAGAATGTTTTCCTGAGCATTTTAAGGAATTTTACCTTTCAACATTCTAGTTTATCAAAAAGATGATTAAAAAACAGCAAACAGACATTTAAAATTAAACTAAGTTTACATTCGTCTCTAGTTTTTGCAACTTTGAATAGTTAATCTGGAGTACTAGCTCAAAATTTGTAAAACTGAATGTTTTGTTCAGATAAACTGTGATATCTTCCATTTTGAATTTGTTGTATTTCTAATAATGTTCTGAGAGTTTCATTAAAACCTGTTCTGTGGTTAAAGGAACACTTTGCTTACAGGCACAGGCCATCCTTTCATCCATCCATCCTTTCATRCATCCATGGCCTCAGATTTGGAGGTGCACACATTAACACAGATACAATTAATTTTTAAATGTGTGGGTAAACATTCTCCACAATTGTTAACCTTAAAGCACTGATGTGACAGAGAGCGTGTAAGAGTATTGGAATGAAAGCAGGCGCCTCTTATTGTTTTACAGAAGAGCACGAACGGAGTGTGAACTTGTCAGGTCTGCCTAAGTGGAACYATATTTACGATGCGGCCCGAAAGCATTACAGGAATTCCTGATTCCCGTCGAGGCGTGAGCTGTTTGATTTTCTCCGCCTTTCGTTTTAGATTTTGAAGCAGCAATTTGTGCGAGAATGAATGTTTTTCTGGTATTCTGCACCCCCGCTCTCTCCAAATGATAAATATTTCATTTGGCCGAGGCTTTATAGTTTTGATATTCTTAGATTAAGTCTGCAGCTCCTGAATAAAACCCTTCAGAATGTTGGGTAGAAGCACGTGCTTGGTTCAAAGCAGACCTTTGAAGAGGCTGGAGTTGTGAATGACGACTTTATGAGAGTTTTCATAAACGGCCACAAAGGTCAGCATCTGAAAAACTATTTCAAAACGTATTACTTCTGGAGGAGGGACTTTGCAGCAGGAGCTTGTTTATCACTTTGGCCTTTTTTCAACATTGTGCTCCGGTTCACCTCTGAACTCCTGCAGAAGTGAAAACAGGACACAGCCATGCATCTCCTTCAACTTGGGACTTCCTGTCAATTCATCATCTTCAGTTTCTTCATCAGTCTGTGTCTGGTCCAGGGWTGGTTTCAAACACGGTATAGGAGGGATGTTGAAATGAAATCAGATGCTTCAGAACCACCAAAATACTACAGGTTTCAAACTTATTTTGAAGCATCTTTTATCAAAAGAAGCCTTTTCCCCCCTCTGTTTGTTCAGATGCTGGGCTAAGATTTGGTGTGATAGTAGCTGAGAGTCATCCCCAGCACATACTCTGAGCACTATTTGGAGTCAGCTCATTCAAAGCAGGATAAAAGCTTAAAACAGGACTCAGGAGGGGAAATGGTTGTTTATCTTAGCATGAGCTAAAGGTCTGAAGAGAATGAGGTAAGGACGATGCCCGCCGTGCAACAGCCTGCTCTGATCTGGGATGTTTAAGGCCCATATGTGGTCTTTGCTGTGGGAGCAGTGCGAATGTGACAAAGAGGAAAAGACGGGTCATGAATACACGTCCAGCGCTCGCCGCAGCCTGTTAACAGACTTTTTATTTCTTCCTCCCCCTCGTTGCCTCGGCTCTCTCGGAGCTTCTCCGTCACYTCTCTACGGCCCTCTCCTCCGCTCCGTGTGTTTTTGCAGGAGCTCGGCCAGGGGAGGCTGCGCGGCGCTCAAAGGTCTGCGGTGGCAGACAAACTCTGCTCCTTTCAGCTTGACAGACAATCTACACAACGACTGTCTGTTGACTGGAGAGAGCCAAGCCTCCTCTGTTTGCTTTGGAAAGGATGGGAGAGCACCGAGTGCGTGCACGCACACACACACACACACACACACGCACACACATATACAGACATACCGATTAAATATATGTTTGAACGAGTGACCAAGATATAAATTTTCAAAAGGGCAAAGGTGGCAGTTACCAACTTTTTCCATATATAAATTTGTAGCATGTTTAAATCTTATTGTAGCTACAGGCCCACCCTAACTGACCAAATGWAAAGGTCAAATACCCAAAGTGGTTATGATTTTCAACACACCACACAAGAACCGACTGCACTCAAATAATAAGATGTCAGAACCTCGCCAGAACAAACGTGAGTTTTGATTAAAGAAACACGGCAGATGAGGAAGAACGGGTGGCGATAGTTTGTGGACAGGGAAAACTAAACAAAAAGGTGAGCTATGGTAGTTGTTTTGCATTACCTCGTGTGTTTACCTCGCTTTCTGATTGGCTACACATCACATTTAACAGGCTGTGAGCTCGTTTGTCCTKYGGAGAACACCACACACTGGGATTTCGGGCCAAGACAACCCATCATGTTGAACGACTCCGATTTGAGATTGCACTGGTCCTAATGTCCTTCTGAGCTGACTAGATCAGTCTTACCACACAGCAGGAGTATCTCGTAAGATTATCTTCAGAGCCATCATGATTATTGGGGCGTCCTTTTGTCGGAAGGTCAAAAACTGGCACAATTATCCCACTGTGTGAACCAGACATGAGTTAGAAGTATGGGTGTCCTCTGGTCCCACGTCAGCAGGGTGTGGTACCTGCTCTAACCCGGTACAAGTAGTGATTCAGTGCAAAGTCATACACCTCTTGTGTCCTCAACTGCAGCAAGATGGTCCGTAGTTGTACCTAGTCTTAATGATCCAGCTGGTTGGCATGAGGTTGGAGTTGACATCTGATTCCAGCAGTAAAGTCAGTGTTTAATGGGCCTCATGCAAGAACATGTTCGTATTCTTATCCTAAATTTCTCTTACTTTTGTTCGTACGAAGGGTTCGTACGAACATGTCAC